ATTAATCTGGACTGACGCCATCTAGCGTGTAAGTGTGGTTACCCGTCAGTTTGCTTTCTTGTTTTCTGTATAAATTCCTCCACCTCCGTTGGCGTGTGGAAGAGGAAGCTGTTACCGCGGTGAGAAATCCTCATTTTTGCTGGGAATATCAGCCCAAAGTTTATGTTCAGATTACGGAGTTGTTGTTTCACCTGGTCGTATTGTTTGCGTTGTTTCACCACCTCCACGGATAGGTCAGGGAAGAACATCACATGGCGGCCGTTGTACATCACCTTTCCTTTCAGACGGGCTGCAGTCATCACTCTCATCTTGTCTTGATAGTTTAAGAATTTCATGATGATCACGCGTGGCGGGCCGCCAGGAACACTCTGACCATGCAGCCTGTGGGCTCGCTCGATAATGGGGGGAGATGGGAACGCGTCCTGTCCCAGGACCTCTATCAGCCAGGTTTGCAGAAAAGCAGCGGTGTCCCCTTGTTCTGTCTTCTCGGGTAAACCCACGAGTCTCAGGTTGGATCTCCGGCTTCTGTTTTCAAGCTCGTCCACCTTCAAAGTGAGATCCTGGATTTTCTTTTGAATGGATGTTTCCTTGCCTGTTAACGAGGCGACGCCGTCTTCCAGGTTGCTAATGCGGGATTCTGCAGAGGTAAGCCTCTCGAGAAATACTCCAATTGTGTCTTTAATTTCTTGGTTCGAGGTTATAATTTCCTGTAGTTGCGTGGTAAAGTGAGTTTTCAAGGCTTGAATTGCTTCCAGAAGGTTAGCTTCAGAAGACTGGGAGCAAGCGTTAGCCTCCTCCATGTGCTCGGTTTCCACTTCGTTGTTGGCCTCGCCTTCGGGTCCCTCTTTGCTGGAAGTTTTCGTTTTTAATTTATGTTTAGTCGGCATCTTGGCAGGTTGAATTGAATCCCAGAGAGTTTGCTCGAACAAAGAATATATTAGCAGTGGTCTAGATATCTAAATGTAGAGTATATTGGTCGGAGCTCAGAGCCCTGCAGCTGCTCAGTCAGACGCCATAACCGGAAGTCTCGATCAGGCTGCTTTTGCTCAGCTTTTTGGTAAGCCTCCTCCACCTCGACCACAATTACTCACATCACCTGGAGCTTCTGCCTGTTCTACCTCTCCTCCATCAGTTCTATCCACTGCTCTGGACTGGACTCCACTCCCTCCTCACCCTCTGCAGTGTCAACTATTCAGACCTTTAAGTGAGGAGAAAGGCCACAGCTCCCTTTCCAGTGGGTCAGCCTGATGCCTGCAATGGTTTACCTCCATTCCAGCTTAGTTTCCTTTGTAGTCTCAGCTGCCTCCTTCATGATTCCCAGTTCTGACCGCCTCTCAGTGCGTTAAAACAATCATTTGGCCCCAGATCATCTCAAATATTTTGTTCACATTCCCCATGAGTTAGAGTATCTGAGTTTTTTTAGTTTTTTATGGTGAGAAAGAGGTTTTCCCTTTTCTTCCACCATCTCCAGTTCCCGAGCCAGAACCCCTTCGCGGGCTGTTTCTTGAGCCATTCTAAGAATTCATAATGACTTCCTTAGAAGACTTAATAAAGGTATTACAAGTTTCCCTTACTGATTCAAATAGAATTCAAAAATGGATCCCTAAGATTACAATAATAGACAACTACTTCACTATTGGCACTAAGTTTAAAACTCAAAATGACTAATTTCATGGATCTTTTTTTTTTTTTATAACCCACCATTGTTTTTTTTTTAGTTTTGTCTGTTTATGTAAATAAACATATTTTATTAAAGGACTAAGTTGCTGTCACACATAGTAAGAAAAGTTCAATTGTGCAAATATTATCTACCGGTACTCACTGTACATTTTACAATACTATTTAGCTATTTTGATGAATGATATAAGGAAAATCATGATTAATAAAAACCTGAAATAATCCTCGCTGGATCGGTTCGCAGCCGAGTGTGAAGCGGCCGGGATGGGGATCAGTGCCTCCAAATCCGAGGCCATGGTCTTGAGCCGGAAAAGGGTAGAGTGCCTTCTCCGGGTCAGGGGGGGTGTCCTGCCCCAAGTGGAGGAGTTTAAGTATCTTGGGATCTTGTTCACGAATGAGGGAAGAAGGGAGCGGGAGATCGACAGGCGGATTGGTGCAGCGTCTGCCGTGAAGCGGGCGCTGTACCGGTCCGTCGTGGTGAAGAGAGAGCTGAGTCAAAAAGCGAAGCTCTCGATTTACCGGTCGATCTACGTTCCTACCCTCATCTATGGTCATGAACTCTGGGTCATGACCGAAAGAACGAGATCGCGGATACAAGCGGCCGAAATGGGTTTCCTCCGTAGGGTGGCTGGGCTCTCCCTTAGAGATAGGGTGAGAAGCTCGGTCATCCGGGAGGGACTTGGAGTAGAGCCGCTGCTCCTCCACGTCGAGAGGAGCCAGTTGAGGTGGCTTGGGCATCTGTTTAGGATGCCTCCTGGACGCCTCCCTGGTGAGGTGTTCCGGGCACGTCCCACCGGGGGGAGGCCCCGGGGAAGACCCAGGACATGCTGGAGAGACTATGTTTCTCGGCTGGCCTGGGAACGCCTTGGGGTTCCTCCTGAAGAGCTGGAAGAAGTGGCTGGGGAGAGGGAAGTTTGGGCCTCCCTTCTTAAGCTGCTGCCCCCGCGACCCGACCCCGGATAAGCGGAGGAAGATGGATGGATGGATGGATGAAATAATCCTAGTCTTCAATGTTTAAAGTTGATTCATACCTATTTTTCTTTCTTTTTAATAAAGGTTCACCCTCTTGCAATTTGTAGGAAATGTCTGCCAAATATGTCAGCCCTCTCAAAGTTTCTAGATTACTCTCGGAATTCTGTATATATTCGATACATACATTTTATCTGGAGTAGATCTTTCTTCTTTGAGAATATACAGTTTTCTGATGTTCTGTGGACAAAGCCAGCAGTAGCTGAGAAAATAAGTTTCTCTATGGTTCTTTCCATTCTGGCTCAGAGTACAGGGAAAGTGAGTCGACTATTGCCATACCATTGCACTCTTTAATGCAAACCCTCTTGCTCTAAAACTGCTCCTTTGGCAACCTACTCATTCTCTACAGAAAAAGATTGTGAATATCGAAAACATTTTCGGTAACTCTGCTTTGTGTGTAATCTTCACTATTTGCATAGAATATCAAGAGTGCAGTCTGTGACCTTGAGTTCATTATCCCGAAAGAGGGTTGTGCTAAAAAAAATATCTAATTAGGTATAAATAAAACCTGTATATTTAATGGTCACTTACAAGTCTTAATGTAAATTTGGATTTGTCTCTAATTTCAGTTTGATAAATGTATTTAATTTGGAGAGTTTAAAGAATGAAAATAAATAAGTGTATTCAATAAATTATCAAAAAGGCATTTGTACAGTGGTTGACAGGTGCAGTAAATCATGTAACAAGCTGCAAAAACATATGATGCAAACTCCAGGCATGCAAGCATAAAAAACAAATGCAAAACATAAAAACAAAAAAACAACCTGCAAACAGGTGAAAACCCACTTCAAACACACATATGATGCAAAGTCCAAAACACGCCGGCATAAAAAAAAAAAAAAAACAAGCGCAACAGAAAAGTGCTGCAAACAAAAAAATTGTAAACAAAAATAGAAGCAAAAACCTGCAATCAGCAAAGTAAATGCTAACAAAAAATATGCAGAAACCACAAAAATAAATGCTACAAGCAAAAACAAAATGGTGCAATCACAGAAAGAAAATAATGCAAA